ACTCCGCCGCATCGCGCCGCTAACATTGCTATATTCGCACTGCGCTAGCATGCAATATTCTTACGTGCCGTATAATGTGAAAAATGTTCTCTTGCACGTCAGAAGACTCTTCTTAAAGAAAATTTCACAGAACTCTCGTCAAAACGGATTAATAATGCTCAATGCCTAAAAAAACCTATAATTTTTCGCTTATAAATTGATTTAAAACTTTTCTTTGTAGATTCGAAACTCTGTGCGTCCTTTTACGTAGGATAGGCATACATTTTTTCTTGATAATATTTGTCAATTAAATTACATTTTGTTGGCGACAAGCGTTAGAAGGAACGCGAATTTGTATATGTCTGTATATTCGAACGACGACGTAGAGGTGACAACCTCAGATATTCTAAGTGTAGAGGGGGCAAAACAAATATCCCGATCGACTGCCGACGGCCCGAGAATTCACCGAAACGGGCAGTAGTTACTGATCCGACTCCGTTAGCTGTATATCGAGAAATAAATAAAGACACTAGTTACATCAAGTCTGTACATGGTCCTTCGAGCCGGATTTCCCGGATATTCCGGATATTCCGATTTTTGCAGTCACGGTTCCGATAAAGTCAAGCAACTGGCGGAACGGATACCAAAACTAACATAACCTTGTGGTAGCTCGTCGTGTGAGAGCGCAACGAGTGCACGGACTCTATTCCACGAATACACCGACAAAGATGAGTGCTGAGGAGCTGCGTAGGCTGCGCGGATATGTCAAGGCCAAGCAAACCCGCATTTGGAACTATGCGCAGGACGTAGCGCAAAAGCGAGTAAGTGCAACGTTGGAGAACATCGCGGTGCGACAGGAGAAGTTAGAGCAAGTCAATAAAGAATTCGAAACGTTACAACGGCAAATCTTGGTGGCTGGGGAGTTCGACGTCCTTCCACCCGAGGATCAGCGAGAGGAAGACGAATTTGAAGAGCGATATTTGGATTTGAAGGCAGTTCTCGTCAAGTGGATCGCCGCATTAACACCGACCGTGAGTACGGAAGCCAACAACGGGCAAGCGGCCCAGGCAATCGAACAGCAAGCAGCACAGGTAATCGAACAGCAGGCCGAGTTGATTCGATCGTTGAGAGCTCAAGGTACGACGAATGTTGATAATAAAATCAAGTTGCCAATTATTCGTTTGCCGACGTTTTCGGGTGAGCTCGAGGACTGGAAACGGTTCTCAGACACTTTCACGGCTTTAATTCACAACAGTGAACTTTCGGCGATTCAAAAGCATCAATATTTGGTTGGTGCGTTGACGGGGAATGCAGCAAAAATCGTGGAGTCGATCGAGATTTCGGCTCAAAATTATGAGGTGGCCTGGAATCTTCTGAAAGACCGTTACGAGGACGAACGGGCACTGAAAAAACGACATTTACAATGTTTGTTTGAGATGCCGAGGCTCGAACGAGAGTCAGCGACAGCGCTCCAAGGACTGGTAGATCACGTGCATAAACATTTGCGGATGTTAAAGGCGTTGGGATCGAGCACCGACGACTGGGATGACATGCTAGTTTACATGATCGAGGAGAGTCTAGACAAGGTTACGCGACGTCGCTGGGAGGAGAATGTTGAAGGCGGACAAGAGGCATCGGCAGAAATCATGTTCGAGTTCTTGCAGAAACGGAGTCAAATGCTCGAACGATTACATAACTCGAGTAAAGGAGAAGCAAAATCGAAGGGAGTCGTCAGCAAGGCTGGAAGAGGTATCGCTAACGAGGAGTCATCAAGGCCATTCAAAGGGAATGCATCCAGGAAGCAATTTTTAGGTCTCCCAATACAGGGACGAATCGACGAAGTCAAGCGATTAAAATTATGTTTTAACTGTTTAAGGAACGATCATTTTGTAAACACTTGTAAGGCGGCTTCCTGCAGATCGTGTTCGGGAAGGCACAATACATTGTGTCATAAAGAAAGAGAAAGCACTACAGTGTCTCTTCCTGGAGCGGTTTGTACGGAGGATCGTCAGCGTAGCGGAGGAGATTTGTCTGTGCATCACACCTCGAGATCATCGAGAGCAGGTATTGTGTTGATGGCGACGGCGGTGGTGAGCGTAAAGGACGTAAATGGTTTCAGACAGGATGTGCGTGTCCTGCTGGATAGCGCGAGTGAAGCCAATTTCATAACTAAGGCAGCTTGTTCTAAATTAAATCTAAAGATAGAAGCAATCCAAGAGGCGGTGACAGGCATAAATAATGTAGAGTGTACAATCGATCGAGGTTGTCGAGTAGTAGTCGAGTCACGAGTAAACGATCATCGTTTATCTGCATTTTGTTTGGTTGTTCCAAAAATTACTAAAAAATTGCCCTCGGCGCGCATCGATGCTAATAATCTGCCTATAGCAAATAATTTGAAGCTGGCTGATCCGCAGTATTTCCATCCCGATCGAGTCGACATGCTTCTCGGTGGTGAATTTTTCTTAAGTTTATTAAACCCGGCAAGGCTCGAGGTTGGAAAAGATATGCCGACGCTACAGGATACTAAACTTGGTTGGATTGTGTCCGGTCCAATTCCGCCGCGATATATTCTTACTGAACGCGCTAGCTATTCACTTTGTTTAACGACACGAGATTCTTTGGAACGTTCAATAACAAAATTTTGGGAGATCGAAGAAGGCGTTAGTCATAATTCCGTAGACTTAACAAAGGAAGAACAGGCATGTGAGCAATTATTTAAAGACACGCATACGCGAACTCGGGAAGGTAGATTCGTGGTTCGATTACCGTTTCGCGACAATAAAACGCAGTTGGGCAAATCGCGAGCAATCGCCGAAAGACGATTGATGCATTTAGAGCGAAAATTCAAGGGCAATATTCATTTCCAACAGTTATATAAGGATTTCATAAAGGAATATATAGAATTGAAGCACATGACTATTCTTCCAATCACTTCGAGCGAGGATGAGAACGCCGTTTATCTACCGCATCACGGAATATTGCGAAGGTCGGTCGCCGGAGCGAAGCTTCGTGTTGTTTTCGATGCTTCAGCCAAAACAAGTTCGGGCTTATCATTGAACGATACTTTGATGACGGGCGCTAATTTGCAGGATACGTTATTTAGCATTGTGTTACGATTTCGAATATGCCGTATCGTTTTGACGACAGATTTACAAAAGATGTACAGACAAGTTTTAGTGCACGACGATGATAGATGTTACCAGAGAATCTTGTGGCGTTGGTCTCCAGACGAACGAATAAGAGAATATACATTAAACACGGTGACGTATGGAGAAGCGTGCGCTCCGTTTTTAGCAATAAGAAGCGTTCAACAATTAGCTAGGGAAGGAAAGGAACAATACCCGCGAGCGTCGACGGTTTTGTTAAGGGATTCATATGTGGACGATGTTTTAACGGGAGTAGACAATATCGATGAGGCGAGGAAACTGATTGACGAGTTGTCAGGATTGTTAAAGTTAGGTCAATTTCAGCTGCACAAGTGGCGATCGAATTATGCACAAGCATTATTCGGAGGAAACGATTCGACCGATTTCCAAGCGATCGACGACGAGGTCGACATAGCGAAAACTTTAGGCTTGCGATGGTTACCGGAATCTGACATGCTTCAATTTGAATCTGAACTGGGGCGTGATTCAAGGACGAAATGTGAGGTATTATCATCAATATCAAAATTATTCGATCCATTGGGATTGGCTAGTCCATTGGTGGTTAGAGCCAAACTTATCATGCAACGCACATGGCAATTAAAGCTGGGTTGGGATGATGAGTTGCCGCCAGATTTGCAACAGGCATGGATAAAATACATGCAAGAATTAATCGAATTACGCACGATACGAATACCGAGACGCGTTATGAGTTGTGATGGGCCGCGTCTTCTTAATTTGCATGCGTTTTGCGACGCCTCCGAGCGGGCTTACGGGGCTTGCGTATATATACAAACAGTAGACAATTCGGATAGAAGTATGTCGCGATTGCTTTGTGCCAGATCACGCGTGGCTCCGATGGGTGGAACGACGATCCCGAGATTAGAACTTTGCGGAGCCGTAGTATTAGTCGAGTTAGTTCAAAGTGTCATTGAGTCATTACACATCACCATCGATAACGTATACGCATGGAGTGATTCTATGATCGTATTGGCCTGGATAGCCGGCGATGTTAGTCGTCAAAAAACGTTTGTTTCCAATAGGATCGGAAAAATTCAATCAATTTTACCCGAAAATCATTGGAATCACGTAGAAGGTAGAGAGAATCCGGCAGATCTGATTTCTCGCGGGACAAGTTTGGGCAACCTTGAGTCGAGCTCTTTATGGTGGTCCGGTCCACCATGGCTTTCCGGACGATTTGAAATTCCGAAATATCGGCAAGGGGAAATGAACGAACAGGAGGTTAAGATCATGCAATCAGAGGAAAGAGGCAAATTGCAAGTCTTGATCATACGAGAAGGAAGTGAATCGTTAGTTGGAGGTATCATAGGTAAAATTTCATCTGCCACGAAAATGGAAAGAACGTTAGCATGGTGTTATCGGTTCATGGCGAATTGTAGACTCAGATCTCCGAAGCGGAACTTAGAACGGTTATCGGTGGGCGAGATATATTCATCACGGTTAGTGTTGATCAAACATGTTCAGCGACACGCGTTCGCTCAAGAAATACGGGACCTATCCGATGGGGGTCAAGTAAAATCAAGCAGCGTATTGGCGAGCCTGAGCCCATTTATCGACCAGAGCGGGGTCCTCAGGGTGGGCGGTAGATTACAGAAGTCGTTATTAGAGTACGAAAAAAGGCATCCTATCTTGTTGCCTGCAAAATGTCGATTCACGGTTTGTTTATTCGAACGGGAACACAGTCGCATGCTCCACGCAGGCCCGCAAGCATTGCTTTTTTCCATTCGAGGAACATATTGGCCATTGAACGGTCGCAATATTGCTCGAAAGGTAGTTCGGGGATGCACGACGTGTTTTCGTAATAATCCTAAGCCATTGACTCAGATCATGGGATCATTGCCGTTGGATAGAATAAACTGTCGACGAGTTTTTTCTGTGGTAGGCATCGATTATGCAGGGCCGATTATCACCGCGATGAGTAAAGGTAGAGGACGAAAGACCAATAAGTCTTATATCGCCTTGTTCATATGTTTTTCTACTAAGGCAATCCATTTAGAAGCTGTTAGTCAATTATCTTCGGATGCGTTTGTCGCGGCGTTGCGTCGTTTTGCTGGGAGACGCGGATGCCCGCGGAAGATTTATAGCGACAATGCGACCAATTTTGTGGGTGCAGAGCGAGAGCTCGCCGAATTGTATCAGGCGATTCGAACTTCGTTCGATAATCACGTAAACGAATATTGCTCGTTGAACGAGATTCAGTGGAGCTTCATTCCACCTCATGCACCTCACATGGGTGGCCTATGGGAGGCTGGCGTCAAGTCCTGTAAATATCATTTAAAGCGGGTAATTGGGGAAACTGTGCTCACATTCGAGGAGCTCAGCACGGTTTTGGTTCAGATTGAGGCATGTCTAAACTCCAGACCGCTGTGCCAATTGCCATCGAGCCCAAATGATTTGCAACCATTGACTCCGGCACATTTTTTAATAGGAGAGTCAATCACGGGATTACCAGATATCGATTTAAAAGAGAGTCCTGTTAATAGACTCGACCGGTGGCAGTTGATTCAGCGTCTTACACAACACTTTTGGAAGCGATGGAGTGTTGAATATCTTACGTCGCTCCAAGGAAAATGTAAATGGACCATTGAAAGAGAAAACTTGGGCATCGACGACATAGTTTTAGTCTGTAACGATAATGCGCCTCCATTGCAATGGAAGATTGGTCGAGTGCTCGAATTGCATCCAGGTGCGGATAAGAAAGTACGCGTTGTTACTGTAAAAACGGCAAATAGTGTAATCAAGCGACCTATAACAAAATTGTGTAAGTTACCCATCGATTGCGACGACAAAATTGAACTGAATTAATGTGAGTTAATTGGTGGGCGGGATGTTGGCGACAAGCGTTAGAAGGAACGCGAATTTGTATATGTCTGTATATTCGAACGACGACGTAGAGGTGACAACCTCAGATATTCTAAGTGTAGAGGGGGCAAAACAAATATCCCGATCGACTGCCGACGGCCCGAGAATTCACCGAAACGGGCAGTAGTTACTGATCCGACTCCGTTAGCTGTACATCGAGAAATAAATAAAGACACTAGTTACATCAAGTCTGTACACATTTTGAGTTATCTTTTCTGTAATTCTCATATGAAAATTGTATTCTTTAACATTTGATTACACAGATGATTTTATTATTTAAAAAATCTATTTCTTAAGAAATTTCTACAGAAAATGTAGGGATATGAAGAAAGCGTATTGTAATAAAACAGAAAACAAGACAAACTTCCCCATTATCAATGTATGAAGATTTCGACAAGCACAAAAACGTTACGTTAATTTTTTTCTAAACAATCCGTTTTTTTTTTCAGAAATCTTTGCGTTAACATTTAAATTTTGGTAAATATTTCCCTTTACTTAGCACCCGCCAATCAACTTCCGTTTGACCTTGATGTTGACCTTGACCCCCAAGGAGGTCAAGGTCATTGCCCATTCCCGTCGCTCATTGTTTGTTAAAAAGTTATGAAGAAAATAAGTTTGTATCGGGTTTGCGTATTTCTGTAAAGCACAATATTCTTGTGTGCGTATGGACTTACAAATGATGGAAAATTATCTGCTCTACAGAACAGTTAACCCGGGTTAAATATATACAGTTTTGGAAATTTGGAATAATCCACGCGCAATTGTATGATGATGGAAATAGGATTGCTTTGTATACAAATGATGATCGCAGATGGAATTTGCCTCGCGCGAATAGTTCAATTTGTAGAAGAAGCAGTTTGTATACATACATGATAATGTCCTTATAATATCAGAAACCGTACTCAGTATATCGTATACTGTGAGGTGAATAAGATATTGCTTCACGCGTTCCTACACCTGACGTACGATCAAGATCAATTGCTTGATTATTTATTTAATCATAATGTTCTCCGTCGGAGAATAGTATGTCCTCGGTGCAAAACACATCTTTTTGTGCAATACGGAACAGCCTCGAGTACTTTCCATTGCACAAATTCGTATTATAAAACTATCCGTGTAAGTTGCAAGTGCTTTTAGCACGGCGCGCTGCGCGCGCCCCACCCCCTAAACGCACCTGCAACTTACACATAAACCAAACTTATTTTCTTCATAACTTTTTAACAAACAATGAGCGACGGGAATGAGCAATGACCTTGACCTCCTTGGGGGTCAAGGTCAACATCAAGGTCAAACGGAAGTTGATTGGCGGGTGCTAAGTAAAGGGAAATGTTTACCTTAATATTTATCATAGACGAATATATTTATAGTTATATGTATACAACTATATCCACACAGAACATGACGTCCATTGGACGTCCATATAACCTCCATAGTTCCATGGAACATCTATCTCCACGATGGATGTTGAATAGACCTCTAATAGAACTCCATATTATCTCCGCGATAAATATATCGTCTGTAAATCTATTACAGATGTCTAATGGATATCTATGACAGACAATACATGGATAAATATGTTTGTACATACATGTTCACGTTTTTACCAAAACAATATTTAATTTTAATATAAATGTTAATTATAATTTTCAAATGTATTGAAAGTATATTTAAAAATATGTAATATTATACAGGG